TCCTTTGGCATATTTATTATGACCCCTTATTACTACAATAAACAAGATAAAAGGTTATCAAATAGAATATCAAAAACCCACCTTAGACAATAATAGTTCTATCTAAATCAACATTGCAATAATAGCTACATAAATGGCACATTGATTATCATCCAGAACTGTAGGTAACTAAAAGATATAACAACAATCTATTCTTTCTTCTATCACATCAATGAAATCATGGTTAATCCATCTAAGTCTAAACTAATGATACTTAATATACCACAAAAGAACCTGGTTTTCCAGATCAGAGAATATCTCCAGTTTCCAAAATACAACTTATCAGAGTACTCAGCATATGACAAATAAAAGAAAGGGAAAAAATATTAACAAGGACTAATCAAGAAGAAAACTTGCATAATAAGCAATATTACAGCTCAAAAAAATATTATGGGCATGATGCATGCATATATCCTAAACCATGTTCTATTTTCACCTATCAAATACTTTCTGATAGACTTGATGTTCTCACAAGACAAAACAATTGAATAGATAAAAAAATTTGAACCAGCTTCAGAAATAGAGTCCAACTAGCATCCTTATCTCTAAAATTAATAATATACAGCAGTATTCTATATAATATTATGGAAACACATATTTGACAGCTACAAAAACACTATAGTAATATTTAAAAGCTCTATGCCAACAACATTATCACAGATTAAATAGTAAGACTATAAATATATTAATCATAATGAATAGTATAGTAAAGTCATGATGTCTTCAAATATTTTACCTTTTTTTTTTTTTAAACACTGGCTCAGCCTTACTTTATTTGGATTAAGTAGAGATGTACATATTATTTATGCTAAAACTATCTATGTTAACCAAACTAGTTCAATAGAGAAAGACTCACCTCACGGCCTATTGCCATCCTAGTGGGAGCTAACCAGCCAAGGCTAGGCTAGTACTATATAAAATTGTAAATATGTGGGAGAGATGTGTAATGTTCTTTATGTATTGTTCTATATACTTATTTACCAGGTCTATATATTGACCTTTTATGTGATTTTCCATTGTACTGAGCTGTATACTTTTTTGTGGGGTGCTATATCTAGCTGTTCTTTCAATTTTTCGTGTGATGCCTTGTAGTTTTTTCCATTCTTGAAAATCTTCACATCTTTGAGTCCAGATGCTATAGAGGTATTTACTAATTTTTTGTTTGATTTCTTTTATGCATTTTTTCTTTTGTTGTTTATTTAATACATATCTGGCTATTAGATTATATGTTTCTTTGAGTATGGCTTCTTTGATGGTACATTTAAGATATTTAGTATACTTCAGGGAGTTGTTTCTTAGATAGTTGTTAATCTATATTTCTATATCCTTTATCTCACTGTATTGTTTGGCTTTGTTGATAATTGTGTTCCTTATATATTCTTCTGTTTTTTGTCGTTGACCTTGATACATGAATGGATGTGTGTTTGTTTCTTTTGATTCGCAAGCTATGCATTTGTCATCTCTATACAAATTCAGAAGTCTTGAGTAGAGTTTGGCTTTGTTGGGAGTTCTTCATTCTAGAGACATAGGTTGAATTTCCTTTGTCATTGGTCTTTTTCATTGGTTTGTTGTTCATTTATTCTGGTTGGTTGTAAATTGGATATTGTTATAGGCCAGTGTATGTGTTTGATGATTCAGTCGCTGAACTCAATTCTTGTTCTGTTCAATAGTCTCCATCTGGCTAGATGTGTTGCATTTGTCAGTTCTTTGGCCATAGTTTTGATAGGGACTTCAAGTGTGTTGTTGTCCTATTAGGGGAGTAACGTGAATTGTGGATTTCTTGTGGAATGAGTGCTGATTGTTCTACACCCTGGTTTCATACCATGATATGTGTCTATTGCTGCTAGTTTGTCTGCTTGTGCATTGTATTTGTTACCTGTGTGGGCCTTAACCTTGATGAGGTCAATTTTCAGGTAGTTGCCTAGAATTATGTCCTTGAGTGGTTGGAGAATACCCAGGTTTTTTTGTATTCTCAGGTTGTGTATGTGATTTGTTCCCATCACTTTTTGTATACTATTTATTGCTGCCTGGCTGTCTGTATGAATGTTGGCTCTGCTATATGCGGGTAGTGTACTGATTGCTGTTAGGATCACCATCAATTCTGCTCTTGTCAATAAGGAGAAGTTTTCTATTTGTCCTTGGAATTTGAGTTCTTGGTTGTCTCTAGTTATTATTATCCATCCAAAGCCCATGTAGAATTGGTTGGAGTGGCATATCATGGATCCATCCATGTATATCTCGAAGTTGATTTTATTTTGTATTTGTTTTGTGATTATAATTAGTTCATCTAAGGCAAGAGATATCGTGGCTAGTGTTTTCCTAATCTGTTCTGATGTTGTGTTCTCTATGGGTATTTGTATGTCTATGCTATAGTTTGTTGGTCTATGTTCTAGTTCTGTAAGCATGGTTGAAATTGAATTTGGTGAGACTCTACTCCTGAGTCTATTTTCTTCTCTCTGGATATTGGATCGTGTTGAGATTTTACTACACTATACTGGAATTGTTACTGTATATTGTTTACTAGCTGTGAAAGTACATGTAGCATTTGGTTGGGACTGTTGGTTTATGTTGCATCCTGTACATTCATTTAGAGGGGATTCGCCAGGTACATGTGTATAGTGCCTATAAATTGTTGAGTTGTTATTTACCTTCCTTTGTTTCCTACCAATGATTAATTCTATGTTCTTTTCCATTGCTATCCAATGTGATTTTGCTGTTTGTGTATCTATTGTTGGTATACATTGTTAAAAACAATTGATTTGGCCTTGTTGTTTGTCAGTAATCCATGTCTGCAGGTTATATTGTAGTATAAAAAACCAAGATGGGGTAGAGCCTGGTACTAATTTTTGATGGATTCTTATAATTTGACACTATTGTAGCATCTTCTCTCTACTACTATTAAGGAGTTGTCCTATAAAGAAGATGTTGTGTTTCTTTAGGTTGGGGTGAATTCTTCTATATAGCTCTGGATCAATTATTTTTTCAATAGTGGTGTCTACCATTTTTATGGTCTGGAAGTTGCCTCCTTAAATTTTGTGGAATGTAAAACCATGTGTTTTGAGCATCCAGATTATGTCATGTATAAGATTTCTTCCTGGTTCAAAGAGAGGAGCTTGTATATGATTGTACATTTCTTTGATTGACCAGATCATATTCTGTGTTGACTGTAGTTGATGGCATGCTATGTCTCCTGTGATGTTGTTTTGGTTTACTCTTGTACACCAATTGTTAGCATGTAGTTGTACTTGTCTATCCTATATGTGCATTATGTTATATTCATGTTTGTTGTAGAGCATGCTGTTGTGTATTGTGTTGGCAAGTCCTATTTTGTGTTTGAATGTTGTTGTCAATTTGCTCATTAGCTGATTGCAAGTTTGTCTAGTTAAGACTATGTCATTACATAGATATTCTAAGCTTGGCATTAGTACGTGGTTGATTATGTATTGCGCTTGTTTGTCAGTAATCTTTTTCATTCCAATTAATATGCATATACTGATGATCTTCTGTTTTATTAGGTGTTTCTGATAATTTTTGCATTCTGAGCTGTCGTACCAGATTCCTAGGATTCTAACTGGTGTGTTGGGTGGGCATTCTTGTATTTTCTAGTTATTTATTATTACTTCTCTTTCCAGGTCTTCCTCTGTGCTATTAAGGATAATCAGCTGTGACTTACTGGGATTGATTTTGATGTCATTGATGTGATAAAATTCTTCTGCTATATGGATGATTATTTGTAGGTCTATTCTATTGTCTGTTGTCCATGTTGTGTCATTAATGTATGCGTTGACTGCTATGTTGGTAATTCTTTTCTTTTATCCTGTATTGAATTCTGTATACGCTTTGGAGCTTATTGTATAGCCTTTATGTTATTGACTGATCATGGCTAGTAGTGGGTCATAAAAGATGCACTACAATAATAGAGATATTATATCTCCTTGATCTATTCCATCTCTTACTTGATATTTATCTGTTAGGCCATAGCAAGTTATAACTGCATTTTGATAGTCTTAGAATATGCTGAGTAGAATTGTGATTATTGTATCTGGTACCTTGATCCTTTGAAGGGCCAACTGTAGCATCTCTAAATTGACAGAGTCATATGCTTTTGACTTAAGATCCAGGCTTGTTATTTAGTTTCTTTTGCATGTTCGATGATGTTGCTAATTATATGAATAGGATCTTGGGTACTGCTACCTGTGAGAGCAGCCCAGTTAAATTCAGATAGTATTCCTGCGTGAGTCAGACACTTGGCTAGTCTGTCTGTAATAATTTTGGTGAATATTTTTCTTCCCGCATCTAGTAGTGTAATAGGTCTAGTAATGTCCAGGTTGTGTGCCTAGTCCTTAGGCTTAGGTATAGGATATATGTGTCCCCTGCTCCATTCTCTAGGTGTGTTACCTTGTTGGATAATCATATTAAAGATCACTCTAAGTTCTTCTCTTGCTTTGCTCCTTAAATATTTGTATGCTAAGTATGGTATCTGATTGGGGCCTGGGATCGACTTTGAACTACATTGTATGATTACTTGTATGAGTTCTTCTGTTGTGATCTCTTTTAGCATTCTTTTGTAGTGGTACTCTTAATGTGTGGCTTGGGTCTATAATCAGCCTGCCACCTAGGGTGTCATTCTAGATTTTGAGTATTTCTGTGTAGTGTCCAATTGTAGAAATGCTCCTTTACTTTAGTTTTGATTTCTGCTGGTTCTGTGACTATCTGCACGTCCTCTCCTTGTTGGATAATGAGTTTGTCTAGTTGTATTTGCCTTCTAGGTCTTTCCAGAATACTGTTGATCATGGCATGCTTGTTGTTGTCATACTGCTCTTGTCTTATCTGGATTCTTTTCCTTATTGCAATAAGCTGTCTTCTATAGGAAATGACTTTTGCGACTATTTTGTGTGCTTTTATGTTACCTTGGATTACTTTAACCCATTCTTCTAGGTATGTGTTGAGGTATTCAACTTCTAATTTTCCAAGTGTGGGTACCAGGTCTGAGACTGATTTTTGTATGCTCGTTGGGATCTGAAGTGGCTGATGTATTTTTTCTTCTTCTCTGTCTTTTAATTGTTGCCTAATTTCTGTGAGAAAATTCTATAGCTGTAATATAAGTGGTGCTTCTTCTATATCTTTGACTTGGTATCTTTTCCTCCAATGTGATTTCTTTTTTGAAATGCATTTTTTAGCTGCTTTCTGAATAGTGTTGCTGAATTGATTCCATCGATGGTCTAGAAGTTGATTACTTGTACATCCTATTTGTATATTGTCTTCAATATATTCACTGAACTTTTCCCACTGCTGGGTTGTGGCGAGTTGCCAATTGTATCTATGGTTGTGTTTATGATAGGTTGCTTGTTTTAGGGTATCAAGGTTCCATACTTCTATTTTTGCTATCATTGTGATGTGGTTATTTAGAATTGCTGGTGTGGTAAGATCTTGGATAATGGCCATTTTTGATTGTCATGTTGCCTGCAGACTCATTCAAATTTGGTCGATTCTACTACTGCTCCCTCCTTTACTCCAGATATATTCTCTTTTTGTAGGGTTGTGTGTTCTATATATATCTTCCAAGTTATTGTCCAAAAGGATTTGTATTTATTTTTCTGAAAGGCTGTGTTTCTTGATTGTCTTTGTGCCACTGTGTTTGTTAATTGCTGAGTTGGAAACTCCATTCATGTTCCTTGCTACCAGAAGGTGCTATCTTTTTTCTGTTGCTTCTTTGATCCATTTGCTTAGGATGTTGAGTACCCTTTGCTTTTCTCCTTCCATATCTTGTACGGGGAAGTAGACTCCAATTATTCACATTTTTTCTTTGTGTGAAAAGGCCAGGTCGACTGCAATGAGTCTACCTGCGAGTGTTTTGTAATTGTCGATTTTATATGCAATATCTTTGTTGATCATTATATTTAGACCTTGTCTGCTGGTTTGTGCTTCTTTATGGGTCCATATAGTTTGGAATTTCTTGTGTTGCCAGTGTTTTGATTATTGATGTGACCCATTTGTCTCTGCAGTAATTATGATATCCCAGTTTGTTGTGTCACAGAAATTGAACCATGTCTCACATTTGTGTGTTTCTACTAGATCTTGAATATTGAATGTTGTCGACTTTCTATATTGGTTTGTATTCTCTGTGTGTTGTTGAGGGTATTGTTGTGCCAGTTGTTATATTGTTTATATTTGGATTCTAGTTTGAATTTGTCATTAGGTGATCTGTTTTTTCCATTTGTTATTTTGGTGTATTATAAGAGTTTGTCATTTGATTGTTTCTGGAGTTGCTTGGTTCTTCTGTAGATATATTGCTTTGATTGTTATCTATTATTGTCTATGTGGGAGGAGAGTGTGCTGCTTGAGATGGGGTTTAGTACGGTGTTATATATTTGGTCCATGTGTTTGTCTAATTTTTGCATGGATAATTGAATGCATTGTTGTTGAGTACAGATGTCTTGGGTGCTATTTTGGAGTATTGTGTCTGTTACTGAGCTTCCTTCTGTATCGAGGGGGAGGTGTCTTCATCCATTTGTTTCATATAATATTTATTATATGTCTCTAAGTTAACTATGCATTCCTCTAGATCGGCGATGTCTTTTTTTATCTCTTGAATTTCTTGTCTTATAGTCTTGAGAATATAAAGTACTTCTGTCATGGTTGTTTGAGGGGGATGAGTATGTGTCTCCACTTCTTTGTGTAGCCTTGCTGCTGCTATGTAGGAGCCTGGCCTAACCTTTCTCTGATTTTTGTGCATAGTTGCTCTCCTCCTTATACTTTCAGTACATGCTGGCCTAAATCTGTTGTACAGTTTGCCGAATCTGTTGGCTTGTTCAGTATTGTATTGGTTCTATTGTGTTCTTCTTTCTTTGATTGGACACTGAGCAACTAAATGTGTTGCACTTCCATATATAGTGCAGAGTTTTGTGTCAATTGGTTTCCATTCTGCTTGAGTTTCTCCAAGAAGAACATTCTGTGTTGTTGTTGCTTCCAGGTCTTTTTGGTTCATGAAACCAATAATTGCAAAATGCTTGCATCTGTATGACATATACCTTCGGATGTAACATGTCTTTGCTCCAGTGTTTCACATGTTAGTCTGAGGTTGAAGGTGGTGGTATTGGGTGGGAGGTTCATTAGCTTGGCTGTGATATTTTCACATGCCTTCATTTGGTCCATGTCCCATTGTGCGTCAAAAATTCTGACTGAGTCTGATCATAGCAAAATACTCCATTTGGCAACTAGCTCTTCCTTGACTTGTTTGTCTGCATAGGTAATGACTGCTGATTGTCACATTTGTTGTGTAGACATATTGATGTTTGTAATCTCTCCAAATTTGGCGAAGGTTTGTTGTACCTTTATGAATTTTGTATCCAGGGGGATGTCCCATACCCTGATACTGTTTTCCTTATTTGATCTAGGGGATGTGAAAGCTATGTGTTTAAGATGAGCACCATTCGTTTCAAGTAAAATAGTGTTGTATGCTTCTTCTGCAGTGTGGTGATCACTGAAAATAGTAATGATGTGTTCTTCTTCTCCTTTTTCTTCACTGCGGGTAGAGAGAAGGCCAATGAGTGTGTTTAAGCTTTTTGCAATGTGTGCTGTCTTTTGGTTGGAAGTTTTCCCTGGGACTTTTGATGCTTTGATACCTGTTTTGACTCTTTTTCTACCGAATCTTGTTGTTGGATCAATAGGTGATCTTGGTCTAAGTTTACCTACTCTATTAATTGGTAAGTTTTTATAGAAGACTTCCTGCCATTGCCCACTGGATTCAGATCTTGTCCGGCTGCTGGTGCCTGGTTCCTCCATTTCTACATCTGAATCGTCTATTCTTGCTGCTATAAATGTGTCAGAAGTGTCCCTACTTTGTTCGTTTTCTTGGATGTTTCTACCTTTAGTGCTTATGTCAGTATGTGTGTCTTGTGTGATCATTTCTTCCACTTCCTTACTCCAAGTTGATTGTTTTTGATTGGTTTTCTTTTCTCTGATGGTCTCTATACCTGAGATTGTAGGCTGGCTTGTGTTCTGGTTCCTTGGTTGTTCATTTTTGGCATTTTCTAGAGGAG